AGAAGCCTTGTAAACTGTTGAGAGCAGATTTTCATTACTTAGTTGCCTCGATATTCGGTTCTTTCACTTGTCACTGCCAATCAAAAGAATAATAATAACTTTATTGATCAGAGAATCAAGGCACACCTTTTGGTTTTTTATCTGATTTTTTCTGTATTTTATTAAGTGAACAAGAAAATAAATTACAATTAAAAAGTGAGATCTCAGATGTATTTATGTATGTGCTTTGATGGGCGAGTGGGTGGGCTGATCAATATATGTTGCCACAAAATATTCTTGTTTTTATGACAACGTAATCCAGTTGAATGCTTAAAGAGGATAAGTTTTTTTTTTTTGTTATTAATATTAATATTATTATTGTTGTTGTTAACCCCAATTTCATTATTTCAAAATAATTTCTATTAGCCTCTCACAGAACAAAATTCGGAGCAAGACATCTTAATTCTCCAATCAAATGAAGTATCTGATTCTCCCATACTCATTTACCCAAAAATTTTTAAAAAAATATATATAATAATAATATTAATAATGTGATCCAAATTTATTATAAGTCATCTATAAATGTAGGTAGGATATGTACCTAATTTTGGGAATTTATTCCCAAATTAAAGCCTCATCCTCTACGCAAATTATGCTAGCTTGATGTTTTTGGTTACTTTCATAATATTCTGACGAGCTCCATCAATTTCATAAGATAGTGACCAAAAGAGTCAACTTAACATGCGATTATTTGTGCCCACTAAGAGTGGTTTCAAGTAACTGGGAATATTCTTATGCATGGAATTTGCAAAATCAACTGATTAAATGCATATAAGACAGGTTAATTAAAAATATTTTTATTTAATCCAATATGCATAATCAATAAATGTCATTATAGTTAACGATTATGTTAGTGGATTCAGTATTTAATTATCTGCTCTGGTATGTATATCTATAATGTGATCCAATTTGAGTATGGTCCTTGTTAAAGATACATTCCTAATTTCCTATGTTCAATTACTAAGAAAGCTTGGCATCTGTCCAATTATTTTCATTTTTTCACTCAAGAAAAGATCTCCCAAAAGGCTATCTCCTAACAAGCCGCCGTATAAGGAATATAATCGCCACAAACATACATATTAATATAATTCTTTCAGTACATAATTTTTACCCACGATATATTGGTATGTTATCGTAGTTCACACACTCTTTCGTGACACAGTCTAACCATTTGCTTTAACAAATATATATAGATTTATGATATGATATGTTAGCTTAAAAGTATGCATATTTGTGAAAAAATACTTGTCTAACTGTTATGTCTGCCTAACAACAATCATTTCCGATCTTAATTAATTACTCGAGACTCCCATTCGATATCTTCTCAACTGAGATTGCCCATTCCAGTTAGTCTTTTACTCTTTTTTCTTACTCTTATGAATTGTTAACTGTAAGTCTTCTGTTAGGCGGCTTAGTGGTTAAACAATCATACTATCTTCCAGTAATTTATACACACATATTTTAATACTCTAACGTCACACTTTATAATAAAAGACAAACATAAGTATAATATTTTAAATAGTAAGTATGCATTTTCTTTTTATAAAGAAAGTATAGTTGTCTAACAATTAGACGGCTAAGAACAGCATTTGTGATTTCGATGTTACGTGTAATAACACTATTAGTTAGCTAGGTATATATCATATATGCTTTGCATAACATGTATTAATTGATATCATAATTAAAATCATATATAAACATGGTTGAAAGCAAATTGGCCCATTGCCTATATTTAATGTGCATGAAAATGTACAATCCAAAGCAAATTAAAGATCAATTGTCGTATATCAAAGTACACCTTACGTGAGGTGTACGTAGTATAAAGCAAACCTCTCTAATCCCTTTAGCTTTCACGTTCTCTCTCTCTCTTTCTCCCTCTCTCAAACAAATAGAGCCAAATTTTAAAAAACCCATAAAGAAAACTAACCCTAACCATGCAGTAAAGATAGCTTCTCCACTTAACACACAATTACCTCTTTGTATGTTCTTCATTTTTCCTTATTAGTTACCATGAATGCCATTTTCGTCTTCTCCAAGATATTCGCAACAAAAACAAATTTTTTTAGTTTGCCCTAATATTCTATCTCTTTTGTTCTTAACTCTATCGTAAGCCCAAAAAAATAGTGTAGAGAGAGTTGAAGAGGGAAATGAGGCCGAAGAGGATGATTTTGCAGCTAGCCGTCGTAATTTTTTTCTTGATTGTTGTAGGGTTTGCAGAAAATGAAGGGAGAAAATTGAAGAGCAATATTATGGAAGGAAATTATAATGTGGAGAAAGGTAAGCAAAATAGGGTTGTTTCAAAGTTTGGTCTCAACTATGTGAGCAAAAGAAGGATTCCAAATGGGCCCGATCCAATCCATAACAGGTAAATTTGGTTTTTCTTTATTTCTATGTTTGTTTTGTTTAATTTCTACGACTTCTTGTTTGAGGTCAATCGACTCGTCGTACTTTTTTTAACAAAAAAAAATATATATATATATATATACTATGCTGCCATTGATTAGGAACGTTACNTATATTGTTATACTGTAAAATGTCATACATTTGTTTACGTTATTTTTAAAAGTATCACGTTTCAGATTAAAAGCATAAATACCTATTGACAAAAATACCTAAAATGCCATTTCTGATTGACATTATGAAGACATGTTCGAAAAAATATGGTTTTCTGCTTAAGTAGCCTTGATGTTTCTTTTGTTCTTTTTATATATTCTTTTATTTGACTATTCTAAATTCCTAATTGATCTTTTTATATCAATTATTAATTGATGGAACATGTATATATGTATATTACATTTTATTCATTTAATTCTTGTTGTTTTTAAATTAATGATCTTGCTCTTGAATTTGGTTTGAAGTTCCTTGTCAAATTGGAAATTCTCTGCACAATAATTTTTTAGGTGAATTATATTGTAAATAAAATAAATTGTACCATGAATATAATAAAACAGGGAGCTATAGTAAATAGTCCAAAGGACTTCAAAGTATAATCTATGTTAATTTGGACAACATAATTATAACATCATCAATTGTGTATATAGATGAGTCGTTAAATTTAATTAACCTACATATTTATGTGCTTGATTTTTATATGATGAAATTTCTGTGTTTTTATGCATTGGACAATTAATTTTTCGTAACTTAAAATAGATAAAAATACTAATTAATTATGGTTTATGCATGCCATTTACTTATGAATTAATATTGCACCCAACTTTATTTATTTCAAAGCATGCTAGCTGGAAAAGATTTTGCTTTGCCATCTAAATTTTTTGACCGAGAAAATTTATTAAAGCAGAAAAAGAGTTCACTCGTCACTTTATCCTTTCTTGAACAGATTTATCTAAAGCTCATTTAATTAAAACATCACATTTTGTAA